CAGCGACTGATGCCAGCTATCGTTTGTCTGAAGAAGAACTTAGGAGAAAAAACGCGAAATCACCATTCGCCGTTAAGTCCTCATTTCAATACAGAACAGGAATAGAGACAGTTTTCCTTTCCAGTTCCGGCCACCCAGCCACGACCAATAAATAGTCACCTCACTTCCGACAAAATAAATGAGATTGGAATGATCATGTCTGGCAAAGGTTTCCTGCTCAGCTAGCTATACTTAGATCCAATACGAAGGGAAATAGTAGTCACCTGAGTTTAGCAATCGCCGATGACAGTTCATCGAGCCCTTAGTTCGGTGTTCTAACGCTGGCTTTTGTGCTCAAAAACCGAACAAATGGGTTAAGAGTTCCTCCGATGATGGAAACTAGGTCGGAAACAACAGAACAAGTGTCCGTTACATCCTTCATGACTACGTTTCAAGGGCCAAAAAAGGACTCGAATAACTGTAGGACTACTATTGATACACTTGCGGTCTGCTCATTGACTGTTTTTTTTAAGCCAACGTCGGATTCGAACTTGCAGGGGTTCTGTTTCTATGTTCATACTTTGAAAAGACATTAACTTAGGTTTTATTACTGAACAAAATTAAAAAAAAGATAATTGAAAGGTACAGAGAAAAAAAAACAAATTGATAAAAACTGAAATAGTAAATAAAAAATGGATAATCTTGGTCCTCCTGACTTAACGGTTGAAAGCAGCACGAGGCAGTCATGTCGGAAGCAACCCGGTGATTACAGAGGTGGTTGAGGCGGAAGCATTCCAGCCGAGCCTGGCACAGATGCCATAGAAGCCGAATGTGGTGTCACAATAGACGGTGTGGCATTCGTGCCCTGAGATCCAATATTAAAACTACTCAAATATTGTGGTGATGCGGATGATTGTTGCAGCACTGCTGACATCTCAGCCGACCCCCCTGGCACCGAGGTCATGGAAGCCGAATGTGGTGCCTCTATAGACAGTGTGGGGTTCGCCGAAGCCATGGAAGCCGAATGTGGTGCCACCATAGAGAGTGCGGGGTTCGCCGAAGCCATGGAAGCCGAATGAGGTGCCACTATAGACAATGCGGGGTTTGCCGAAGCCATGGAAGCCGAATGTGGTGCCACCATAGAGGCTGTGTGCTGCGAGCCTGGCGATCCAAGATTAAAACTGCTCATGGCACCCGCCTCCAGAGCCGGGACTGATGGTAACGTACCTC